TTCAAATTTCCCAAGGCAATGGTAAACAAAGTGTGCGCATTTGGTTTTTGTTAAACATTTGTGACTTATATTAGTTAACAGTTTCAGTCACATTCACTCCAAAACACATTTTGAGTTTCAAATATTGTTGGAAAGAGGTTCTTAGCATTCTACAGACACACGGTATTGTCTGTAAAATAAAATCACTGAACTGTGATCTTGAGGAAGAGGTTTCAAAAAAGTGTTCCAGTTCACTGCTAGTTGCCTACATTTGTGGTCCAAACACCTTATTTTGTGTTTTTAAGCGATTTTTTTTTCTTATTCAGTGAGAGAAATCTAGTCTCTGCTGGGCTTTAACGAGTGCATCAAAGTCAGGTTGAATGTCTGAGGTGGAGATGCGAAGCACAGCTGACAAATGATCATCAGTGAGAGAGGATCTTTACCTGGATTTTGTAAACTTCATCATTGAAAATGGTTGTTCACAAATGTAGGTAGAGCCGAAGAGAACCAACATCTTCTGAGCATGTCTCCTCAGGTTTGGAAAGTTCTCCTTCTTAAGAGAAGAGTAGAAATCCAGCAGAGATCCTGACTTCAGTACTGCATCAGACTGCAGGTCAATGAGTTCCAGCTGCACATCACTGGGTGCATTATCCACACTGCAGGTAAAGGGAGAGGAAATCATGTGCATTTCATCCTTGATTGTTCTGAGATATTCAAAACGCCTTGAAAACTCACCATGTAATGCTCCTAACATGGATGAGTACCTGCTGAGGTGATCAGCTGATGGTGTGACTTCATTCAGGGTTTGCATGTGAGTGAGAGTGTTGCTCTCCAGTTGACTTGAAAGAAACTGCAGCTTTCTCATGAAGGCCTTCACGAGACTGTGCATTTCATGAACAAAAAGGCCCTTGCCTTGCAGTTTGGTGTTCAGTTCATTCATCAGTGCAGTCACATCAACAGCAAATGCAAAATCTGCCATCCAATCCTCATCTGAGAGCTCTGGAATGTCTTTGTCTTTCCTCTCGCAAAACTCTCGAATCTCTGCTTTCAAGTCCCAAACCCTCTTCAGCACTTTCCCCAGGCTGAGCCATCTGACAGCTGTGTGGAGTCCTCCAAAAGAGCGACAAACTGTCTGTGCCGTGCCCTGATGAAGTTTATTATTTTAGTAACAACATCAGTAACATGGTTGATTTTTAGCACTGACTTGCACAACACATGTTGGTGTATAATTCAATGCAAAAACACCAATTTTTGATGTGCATCGATTTCTGTCACTTTATCTTGCACGCGTTTCAAAAGTCAGACATTTTCCCCTGTAAGATTTGGACAACCGTCTGTTGTGACACCTGACAGTCTCTCCCATTTCACTCCCAGAGTGTCCGTGCACGCATTTACCTCTGTGAAAAGATCACTCCCTGTCGTTGTCCCTTTCATCGACCACATTGCTGCCAGCTCCTCCGTGAGCTTGAAGTCCGTTATCCCCCGGACAAATACGAGCAGCTGGGCTGTGTCGCGGACATCACAGCTCTCGTCTAAGGCCAATGAGAAAAAGTCAAAACTTGCCACTTCACGTTGCAGCTGAAGCTCCAGGTTCCCCGCAATGTCCTTGATCCTCCTGGTCACGGTTCGCCTGGACAGCGGGATTTGCTCAAATGCGCCTTTTTTTCAGGGCATATTAGTGCGGCAGAGTCCACCATGCACTCTTTGACAAACTCTCCCTCCGAAAACAGCTTGCTGTCTTTAGCTATTTTGTGGGATATCACAAAGCTGGTCCTGGTTGCTGCATCCCTGGATGTGTGAAGCTTAGTAAAAAAGCCTTGATGCTTTTGCAACTTTGCTAGCAAAGCTTCGGATGTCCGTGCCCTCTCAGCATCAGACAAGTTCTTGTATTTTTCCGAGTGTTTCTTGTCATAATGCTGACTCAAATTGTAGTCCTTAAACACGGCAATCTCCTCCCCGCAAACCAAACACACGGCTTTACCTCCGACTTCAGTAAAAAAATACTTAGCTGTCCAATTTTTGTTGAAAATCCTGCAATCGGCATCTATCTTTCTTTTTTTTGCATGAGCGGACATTTCTGGGGGCTACAATCACCATGTCAACCGTGGGCACCTGTTGCTATATGTATTGCGTCATTGTGTACGTAAAAAACAACTTCAAAATAAAAGCAATGCAGCCTTAGTCCATGCATTAGGTAAAATGAGAAAATACATTTATTTTGTAATTTCCAATTAACCTTACGCGGGCCGGTCAAAGTCAACCAAAGGCCCGCGGGCCGTAAAATGCCCAGGTTTGTCTACTTGAAGGGTAGAAGAGTCCCTGACAACACCGCTGCTCCGCGAGATTAGGAAGCTGTGTGCTTCATGTCAAAATCTCCAAAAGCAACACTGCACACGCCCACTTTTGTTTACATACTTGTAGCACTTAAGAATGACACCACAGACTTTGCAGTCTGTATATATATATATATATATATATATATATATATATATATATATATATATATATATTTTTTTTTTTTTTTTTTTTTTTTTTTTTTTTTCAAAAAAAGTTATTTGCTAAGTACTGGTTCCTTCCAGGAACCATTTTGGAAAGTATTAACCAAAAGCATCCAGGAAATAAATTATTTTAATTTCATCTTTCTTTTCTTTTTTTTCGACATTTGTCATTTTCCCTTAAAATATCCTTGAACAATGCTTTTGAAGCTCTTGGCTGCACACACACTTTGTGTGTGTGTGTGTGTGTGTGTGTGTGTGTGTGTGTGTGTGTGTGTGTGTGTGTGTGTGTGTGTGGTAGCTTAGCAGTGGAACTGGAACAAAGAAGCACACAAAAGGGCTTATCTCAGCTGAGTTAACAGACAGAAGCATTGATTGGAAGTTTGGTCCAATAAGCTATTTGGTGGAGTTGAGTTTGACTCTGCCGTCTTATCAACTGGAGACTCAGGAAGATGTATACAGTACACACACACACACACACACACACACGAGTGTGTGTGCAGCCAAGAGCTAACAGGAAGATGAAGCTAGCAAACAAAGGACAACTGTGTTTTTGCTGTTTGTAGGTGCTCTGCTTGGCCTCACACACTCACACATGCATGCAAAGGTAGGCCAAGTGAAATCGCTGTCAGTTTAGTGTTCATCAAAGCTCAAAATGATGAGATGCTTCCCACAGAGAAGAGGCCCAAGACTGATTTAATGAGACTCACACACACAAATGGATAAAAGTATGTTTCTGTAGGCAGATCTGAGTGGCATACCAACCAGCACCCATCATTACCAGCAGGGCCATTCCCACTCTTGACAGCTTCCCCCTCCTCACCCAGCAGCTCCCTTAATGACCCACTCTAATGAAAATAGTCTGTTTTTTATTTTTTGGTTTTTAAGCCATTCTTGAGGCATTTTTCTTATGCTACATATCAAAAGAAATGTAAGCTCAAATTTGCATTTCTGAGTGTTTCTGCATTCAAATCAAATGTAAATCAGTAACAGACAAAAAAAATTCTATCTAAAACTTACTGGCTTTGTTACGTCACAAATCCACTGGGCGGAGCACAAATGCCACTTGTAGAGAAGAAGATGGATATCAATAAAGTGGACCTGACTTACACGCAGGAGACCTGGTTTTGAATCCAGGCTGGGCCATATGAGATACTGGCTCAGATGTCATTTATAATTTTATTTTCACAATAAAACAGTAATACGCATTACTGTGTTTGCTGTATTATTTACACGCTCACTGAACATCCAAGTGAGATGCGCGGAAAGGCATTGAATTTACGGCCAGAGAAGACATCTGTTCAACTTTAAATTTGGAACTATTCACCCATGACGGGGCGTATATGTTATAAATATTGTTATAAATATATGATCTGGACAGGACGTATACGTATATGTTAAAACAATGTATAGCGGAGGTCATCACAGAGTGCTACAGCAACCAGCACACCTCCTCTCCCTGCACCATGTGTGGTTCGGGGTCCCGAGGAGAGGGCGAGGCCGTGCTCTGAGTAGGTCGCACAGCCGCGGGTACCATGAGTTTACTTTATGCCGCGCGATTCGTGCGCAGCTCCAGGAAGATTCTGCTGCTGCTGATCAGGCAGTCAGCACACAACTTCAAAACACAAAGCTGACAGATTTCTTCAGATTCGTTTAGAAAGTTGGGCCGAGCTCGCTCGCACACAAGCCGGTCAGAGAGGACAAAGCAGCGTGCCGTGCAGCAGGTGGAGGAGAGAATCGGACAGGTGGAGTGCAGGAGGAGATCAGAGCGGCAGACAGAACAGGTGGATGACTTCTAAGCAACAAAAAATAATGGTCTATTTTTTTTTTTTTTACCAAGAATGAACAAACACATTTCCTGATGATCTATGATTATCTCAGTTGTCCGGATTGTTGCTTAGAAGTCAGGTGCGCCCTGAGGAGTGACACTTTCTCTCTGTGTGTGTGTGTGTGTGTGTGTGTGTGTGTGTGTGTGTGTGTGTGTGTGTGTGTGTGTGTGTGTGTGTGTGTGTGTGTGTGCGTGCGTGCGTGCGTGCGTGCGTGCGTGCGTGCGTGTGTGTGTGTGTGTGTGTGTTACTTGATGCGTTCATTTTGACGAGCCTTACAGCCATGTTCCAGATTTGTTTTTGTCTGAAAATATGAAATAAATCCATGTGTTCCACAACTTCATGAGCAGTCGTCATGATTATAATTTTGACTCATTCCACATTTCTGCCTTTTTTCATCCAGTTATTTTTTTTTTCTTTCATAAAATTGGATGGAAAAAATAGGTGTTTTGAGATGGAAAACTAAAACTAACTAGATGTAAATACAGAGGCAGGTAGGCAGTGTTTCAACAGGATGGATTTGCTTCTGCCAAATCTGCATGACGATATAAGAGATTATCTTTTTGTTCTGATGGTACATGAGACACTTGTGCTTGTGTTTTACTTTTCCTTTTTATATGATGCAACCAAAAGTTTCAGGGCCTAACAATGCATAACAACATGTAATGAACTTATTTTATTGTTTTTTTTCTCTTTCCAGAACAATTAAGATTGAGGTTTATGACTGGGACAGAGATGGCAGGTAGGTTTTCACTATTCTCACCCAGATATCACATTTATTTAATTTAGAGGCTGCAAAACCTTAATTTTTATGATAACTCATCTTTTATTAATAGATAATTGTTGCATCATCGTAGGCAGTTTTTATATTTAATTTGCTTAGTTTGTGACGTCTAAAGTTTTTCGGTGTCTTTTTCTTTGTGTATAATGTTACATGGGTTTGAAATTAACTGATATATTTAAATGTCATTCAAGACATACTTGTCTCTTCCTTCCTCACCACAACATTTAGTCATGACTTCATCGGAGAGTTCAGCACCAGCTACAGAGAGTTATCCAGAGGACAGAGCCAGTTCAACATCTATGAGGTCAGCCTGTGTGTGTGTGTGTGTGTGTGTGTGTGTGTGTGTGTGTGTGTGTGTGTGTGTGTGTGTGTGTGTGTGTGTGTGTGTGTGTGTGTGTGTGTGTGTGTGTGTGTGTGTGTGTGTGTGTGTGTGTGTGTGTGTGTTTGGTGTTAAAGACCACTGAAGCCTCCAGTACAGACTGAGTCACCAGATCCAAGCCAAATGTTGAATTGAGTTCATTATGTCTTATTTTACATTTAATTGACGCCACTCCCAGGTCTGTTTTGTTAAACTAGCCTAGATCAGGACTTTGGAGAAGAATCTAGTTTTAATTTCCTTCCCACTATCTCTCATTGGGTCTAGTGTTTCCAACAAAATCTACAGTGTAATCTGAATGTTGATATAGATAGCTACAGTGAGGGTACACACACAACACATGCCGGTTGAGTTTCTTTAAAGAGACAATGTGTAGTTTTTATGATCAATCTCTGGAAATATCCATCAAAATGTAGTTGAAAATGAATGCAATGATGCCCAGTTTATAACCATAAAGGTCTAAAAGGCATGGGAGTGGGTCTAAGTACCTGGGCGACGCCATATTAGATGCCATATTTCCTTCTACGGGAGCCCATGAGGGCAAAATGCATTTACAGATCGATAACAAACGGTTACAAAACGTTCCTCATTCTTAAATGTTGTTGTTTTACACATTTACCTCCTCACCTGTTACCAGTGATGAAAGGGAGTCTGCTTGTTATTTTGCTAAAGTTTGCACTCCCCAGGGCTTTTTGACCCTAATGGGCTTCCGATGGTAAGGTCGTACTACAACACAAAAATACTGCTTGCTTGCAGCAATTTATGTATCTACTGCCCCCTAACACCAGGGAAAATACACACTGTCACTTTAAGTGTCTTTATTAGACAGTTGTTCCACACAAGCTATTTAGCCAAGCTCAGTCCTCAGCCTGTGTCTCGTCTGTGGTCCTCAATCTGCAGAAGCAAACCCCTCCTCCTCCTCCGATACCTGTACATATAGTCGGGGACATTGATTATCAATGCAGCTCACCTGCCTTCGTCCTCTCATCTGTTGCCCTGCCCGACCTCTGCTCTCTTCCTGCCGCCGTGTTCCTCCCAGCGAGCCACCACAACATTTTATTAGAATAAAGTCCTAATGATGCTAATTGATCTGTGTGTCCAACAACAACCATTAGGGGAACATTTTCAACTTTTTTTTCTTCAATTTAAGATTCTGCGCACTTCAATCTGCGATGTAGGAGTTTATTGGACAAGCTTTCAGTCAGAGACCTTCATCAGGAATCGTCAATTCTGACCGAAAGCTTGACCAATAAACTCCTACATCGCAGATTGAAGTGTGCGGATTCTTATTTTGTTTATTCCGCTTTTTGATCCAGCACCTTTCCCAGACGAGCGGTGACTCCTTCTACTCTTTTTTTCTTCCATTTAAAATGGGGACACACATTAGGGCTGAACATCTATCGTTTTTGGACCGAAATTGTGATTTCAAACTGCATGATCACATGACCGTCAAAGCTGCGGTTTTAGTGGTTTTGACTGATCCAGGATCAGTTGTGCAACTTTTTTTTACATCTGGGGTTTTCCCCCTGTGTTATGGCGGCATCAAAAGCCAGCGCAGGGGAGGGGGTGGAGTGTACCATCCAGAGCCGAGCCCAACTCTACAGCTGACAGAGCTGCATGTTTAGGTTATTTTGCCTTTTTTCTTTGTTCCCACACACAGCGCCGCTAGAGCCGATAATAATGGCACCGTAGGTGAGCCCGGGACAGACAGAGAGAACGTAGCTGAGTAGGGGAGAGAGAGAGTCTCCTCCCACATCGGAGCAGGTTCAGGCTGATTTCTAAAGCTTGGTTTATGCTTCATCAGCGCGAGTGCGGAGTTGCGTACATTAGTTGACTTGAAAGCTCAACTTCTCTTTTAAAAATGGTTTGAATGTATCTGATGGCACACGTTAGTTCAAACAAGCTAAGGTTCCAGAATGTGTGCGTCTCTCATGGAGCTTACGTTTTAGTGAGGAAAAACTATCAGACGGCTTCGAAAAACATGCAGCCAGCCGGCCTTGGTAATGCAGGGAAAACTGTGTGCATTTTTTGTAATTTAATACATTTAAAAGCTATTTCTACCTACAGATTTCCTGCATGCATTTTTGGAGTAGAACATGTTTTTATAAAGCTCCTGTTAAGAAAAAAACACAAGCACAAGTTGCTTTACAGACACGTTAAAAAATTTAAAAAATATATAATAATGGGAGGAAATATTAATAGCTTTAACTTTTTTATTATATGATTAAATAGTAAATATTAATGTGAATCCCATTTTGGTTCTTTTTTTAAACACAGATATGTTTTTTTTCTTTACCTTGCTGACGTTTTGTTTGCGGCTGCAAACATCCTAAGAGCTGACGCTGATGGTGGCGTCACTTCCTACTCCGTTTATCTGCGGGTAACAGAGGACATTGTGACCCTCTGCTGCCCGCTCTCCCCTCTCCGATGATGCAGTCCCATGCACGATCCAATAAGTAAACTCCATCATCTCTGTTCACTGAACAACAGAAACACAAAAGATGGATAAAGGAAGCTATAGAGATAAGGAGACGTGGATGTGGGACCATGAACCGAGACGATGGATTTTACTTATTGAATCATGCATGGGACTGCATCATCGGAGAGGGGAGAGTGGGCAGCAGAGGATAAAAGGAGTAGGAAGTGACGCCACCATAAGCGTCAGCTCTGAGGATTTTTGCACCTGCAAACGAAACGTCAGCAAGGTAAAGAAAAAAACCTTATCTGTGTTTAAAAAAGAACCAAAATGGAATTTGAAGACAAACACAGCAAGAACGTACAAAAGATAATAATGTGAATGATTTGTTGTAATAGATTTGAATCTAAACCATCTTTTCACTTAATCTACAGGATGGCTTGGCAGGCTAATGTTGGACCTTTGTTTGCAGAAAATCGTGAACTGAACCAAAATCGCAATTTCTGCTAGAAAAATTGCAGTTTAATCTTTTCTAATATCGTTCAGCCCTAACACACTCACACTAAGGCTGAATGATTAATTGTCTATGCAGTTATATTGAAATGTGACAAAATACGATTTTATTATCGCAAACGCTGCGATTTGACTGGTCGGGCGATCTGGGAAAGCCACGTGACTTGCAAGCACCTCAAACAAGGCAGGGAGAGAAGAAAACACTGTGCTTACACCTGTTCTAAAATGGCCTCAGGCTCAACAGAATCCAACGCTGCACGAGGTTTGGTACCAAAAAGGAATTACGCAGCAGTGTGGAATTATTTTGGCTATAAATAAAGAAGATGCTGTGCAACATCAGGTATTGTGCACAACCTGCCTTGCTACTGTTGCTACCTCACGAGGTAGCACAACAAACCTTTATCAACACCTAAAAGACATTGCACCATGGATGTAACTTTCACTTTAGAAGGGGGGGGGGGGGGGGGGGGGGGGCACGGGGGGGGATATCTTTACAATATGCTCTAATGGGAAACAGGCTTCAACACAAACGGTTGTTTTCCGCTTGGTCCTAGAGCTCAACCAGTGTCAGTTTAATTTAGCGTAATGTTGTTTTTGGATGGTAAAAAGTGCAGGGGTCAAAACTTGACTTTGGAAAAAGTGGGGGGGACATGTGTTCCCCCCCCCCCCAAAATTACTTCCATGCATTACACCACCATATGCCAGAGTTGCATGGCTAAAATGCCAGTCGCCAGTGTTTCAGCTTCCAGTAAACAAACTTTCAGTAGACAGAGATCAGTGACTGAGCTGTATAACAATAATGTATGTGTAAGAAAACAGATATTGCTTACATTGACTTATTTGTTTACTTGCATTAGTTGAAAAATATGATGAAAAGCTATTAGAGAAAATAATCGCAAATTAAATTGCAATTGTAATATTGAAGAAAATAAATCCCAATTAGATTATTTTCCCAAAATTGTTCATCCCAAATACACACAAACACACACACACACACACACACACACACACACACACACACACACACACACACACACACACACACACACACACACATTTAAACGGGTATTCTTTCTCGAAGGAGTCATCGTTTTTTGATTAACGCAGTACTACATGTGTGTGTATGTGTGCTGTTTTCTTTTTCCTACTACCTTTTACTTAGCATTGAGGGTTGGTTGGCATTTTCAAAAGCATTTAAGGTGTGTTTTTGTGCTACAATCACATTTCAATTCAGCTCAAAGACAAATGTGCCTGCTGGATATCTGCTCAGAGTAAACCAAGGAGAAATGCAGAAATCCACTCTGTTGTTACCTGGGGGCCTTTTCTGTCCGTTTGACCTTGGCACAGTTTAATGAGAACAGATCCTGTGTTTGGGATTCAGAAGGGGTTTTGGCTGTGATTCTGTCTGGTTGCAGTATTAAAGGGACTCTTGGATGTTTTACTCAATCTAGGTCAGTTGTAACGTTTTCTAAGTGGTCACAATTAATAAACTGTCAATGAAATATGAAAGGTATTCAACACGATGTAATGTTCCATAAATATATGGAACATTAATATTATTGACCATTTAATATCCAATTGGCACTGGAAATAGGTGGTTGAGGTATGTCAGGGAACCAACACTTATGAATAATTTGACACAGAAGCCAAAATATAGTTTATTAAAATGTATTACTATATTTCTATGACTACTGATTATACAGAATAACTGTAGATAAATGATTATTCAAGGTAAAATTAACTAAGACAATAACCAGACTTTAATTAAACATGTGTATCTTAGGAAGGAATGTGCTGTCTGGGATTAAAAAAAATCATCTGACTTTATTTAGTGATGTTTAATTAGTTATAAAATTATTCTTAACCTATCCAATGCCAGTGTGCAGAGCTACGGTACCGAGGGTTCTCAGTGATTCGGCTAGCAGTCATCTCGGCATGCGAGTTGTCTGACTTCTGGATATCAAAGCCGTAGTCCTCTGAATCCGCATCAACTGGTCAAGACATACTCCCCTGGGTGACTGCTGGAAGCTGGCAGGTCGTTTAGCATCTGATGCGGTTTTGCAGGTTAAAACAAATAATAGTTGTTTTGGTTCTAAAAAAGGTGGTAAAATATTCCATTGAAAGACCTGGTTTGATCCTCCAAGAGGTTTTAATTTTAGCAAGTGATGCAAGAACTGAATTATGGGCTCGACGCACAGGAGGCGACAAACGACCGCGATCAGCTACATTCGTTGCTGTCACTTTTATTACCTGGCACATGGGAGGCGACCTGCAGCAGCGACCAGCGGCAAAGCCGTCTACGTGTTCTGTTCCATGGCGGAATCGAATCTTCCGTTGTTTTGATTGGCTGTGTCAGGTTGGAGGGAATTGATGTTATTTAAGCGGTTCAGAGTTTAAAAAGCAGTAGATATGATGTTTCACAAGGTGCTGCTAGAGTTATGTGAAATCTTACTTCTGATTTTACTATATAAAAAAAACGGAGAATGGGTTCATCCCATATTACAACCCAGGAGAGGACTACTCTTTGTCTATCAGGACATGCTTCGATTTATCACACGGTTTGGACCTCACATTAAGATGAACACAGTCACAGAAGGAGAAACGGAGTCCATGTTTGCTCGGAGATGTACGGAGCATCCTGCCGCTCATTGATGAAGCCTCCGTTGATTGGAAAATTTGTAAATATTTCAACTTTCTGGGATCGCGTTGCTGGGTCCCCTGTGCACGACATGTGCACGAGCGCAAAATTTCACAAGCATGTTTTTTGCGTTTCGCTTAGTAGGAGGGAGACCCGCGATTATTGCTTTGTCGCGCATGTCTCATTAAAAATGAATGGAGGAGAGGCAAAGCCGCCTCCCGTGTGTCGAGTCCACTATAAAGGAAGTGACTCCATCCTTTAAGGATTGTGTTTGGACTGTTCATAGGCCAGAAAATGTAGGAGGCGTTAACAAAGATCTCAAACATCACATCCTTTTCTAAGAAACTGCTTTAAAGAAATATTTCACTTATTATGTGAAGTAAATATGATATAACAGTCATTTGTTAATATCCTAATATTAATATGTGACATGTCTGATCTTAAAACCATTAATAAATAATCAATCAAATTCGTTTGGTGTATTTAAGATTTGAAATGATGATCTAGAACAGGCAAACAAATGGAGACAAGATGGAAAAAAATTTGGTTGTTAATATCGGCCTGGTTTTATTTATCCAACCAATACCGATATGTTAAAAAATGACTAACATCGGCCGATACCGATATTGATGCCGATATATTTTCCATCCCTACTTTAGATGAAGCATTCATTGTATAAAACAGAATATGATTGTAATTCATCTGTAAAATGAGGAAATAATAGAATATAAAGAATTTGATCCTTTCATTAAAGTTAAGAGTTCTGTCTTCTCCAGGAGACATCTGCAGAATAGATAAGGTGGCCGAGTAGGATTTGTCATGGCGTTTTTCCAGATGGAGAGGACATAAGCAGTATGTTTTCTGGTTTGGAAACCAGTCAGTTAACCTGTAGCACACTGATGAAGCTGTAACAGTGTCTTAACCTTCTTACGCTACGTAGTGTTATAAGTTATGACATCAATCAGAGGATGATTGATGAATCACATGGAGATTTGTAGGACTTCATCTCAAAGGGACATCTTTAGGGTTAGCAACAATATCTCAAACCACTGGATGGATTTCTTTATGTACGTCTACAAGTGATTCACTTTTGTGAATCAACTCCATTCATTTATGAAACAACAATCCTGGATGTGCAGATCTGCAGCTTCCAGGACAACCCAGTCTATCCTGAGTTCAGTAGCAGGAGGAGGATATCACATTCTCCCTGGTGCTTTGTCATAGAATGGCACTCATCACTCACAAACATGCTATCTGCCTAAATGGTCTAACAGGGACAGGGATAAAACAAAAAAAAAAAAAAACCAAAATAAAAGAAATCAATGGCTACAACATCTAATTGACATTAGCAAACTAAAAAGGGTTACAACTCAAGGCAGTTTTACTCAACATAAACACAAATAGTGGAGCATTTATCTTGTTAATTATTAGAATATCAGGATCAGGGATTGGTGAAAAACAAAATTCAACCAAAATAATCTTAAATACGACATCTTTCTTCAGCCAGTTTTTGATTGTAAGCTGAAATTTCTAGAAGCTACATTCTGTCAACAAAAGGAAAACATGAATTAGGTGTTTTCTTTCACCTGAAGCTGGCAAAAACAAATAGTGTTGAGTTCAGCTGCAGCTGTCACCAATCAGCCTGGCTGATGAGCTTCAGGTTGTAAAGGCTGTTTTCTTGACGCCCTGCTCTGACTCTTAACGTCGGAACATTGCTGCACTTCTATTGCAGCTATATTGCTTTAACGATTACAACGCAGAGTATTCTCAGGTCCTCAAATGAGCAGAACGAGATAAAAAAAAAGCTGCATGTGGTTCATTTGTGGAGCTGAACAAGACTGGCAAAAGATAGTTCAGTTCTTTTAAAACTGCACAAAAACAGCAGGTTGCCACACTGTTCTCAGTAGACATGTCATTATGGCATGAATAAAAGAATAAGTGAATAGAAATAATGCAAAGCATCTCTTTTGTGTTTTAGGTGGTAAATCCAAAGAAAAAAGGAAAGAAGAAAAAATACCTAAACTCTGGAACGGTAAGGCAGAAAAAGTGTTTTAGATGTTTGTTTTGTCCCATTTGCGACAGCACTGATCAGATTGTTGCCCAACGCTTCACAGGTGACGTTGCTGTCGTTTCTTGTGGACATCGAAGTCACTTTCCTGGACTACATCAAAGGGGGGTGAGTCAGCGACCGTGCATTCGCCGGACCCGCGCTGACACACCGGCGTGTTCTGTTAATGAGAGCTGACATGCTGAGTGTGTTGGTCCCTGTCTCCATAATAACCCCATCATGACCGCTTGTCTGCAAAGTGCCAAAGATAATGATCCATTTGTGTGTGAGTGTGTGTGTGTGTGTGTGTGGGGGGGGGGGGGGGGGGGTAGACTCAGAGTGTACATTAGCATGTGAGAGGACAGGATCAGGAGAACCTGATGGATGAGTCCGCGTCTCCGTCCTTGTGTGTGATCATTTACTGCACTGGCCCATCCCTGTGTCTTTGTGTATATTCAAACTGTGTCTCCGTGCACGTATGTACCAGGAGGGCTGACCGTGTGCACCCAGGCATGGCGTATTGCTCGCCTACACACTCTGGCTTCATTAGAGTCACAGAGGGAGAGGCTGTCAAGGGAGGACAAGGGAGGAGAACAAGTGGATGTGGCCGCCGCAACTTAAAAAAATAAGATCCCTGCTTGTCTGTGTTCTGTAGCTGCCTTTGTGAACGTTTTATATTTTTTTCAGGTGCTGTTACTGAGGGGGAAAACCACAGTTTTAAAAAGTTTTTTAAACCGCTTTTTAAAAAGTTTTAATTATGTTTTTGCCACAAACTCCTAAAAGAAAACAATACTTTATATTTGCATATACTGTATTACTGTTGCTTGTTTTGTGGAAGTTTGGACTAATGCATACTGTACCACCATCCTGCTTATTAAGGAGACGCTTTCTGCCTCAACACAACTAGTTTTAACCAGTGGGTGATGAGCAGGCTTCTGCAGAGCTGAACAGCTGATTGAATCATTGAACCAGGTGTGTTGGTGCGGGGCATTTTTTGCTCTGGGATTATTTTTAGCCAATGTTGTCCTAGCAGAAATACTCTTATGATAGGTGCTGCTTCAGTCAGGGTATAGGCAATTAAGAGAATTAGATATGCATGTTATATTTCAGTTTTGTATTATTTTGTCAGTATGAGTCATTTCTGCTTACCAAACCCTAAATGTCTCCTAATTTGAGAAATCGCAGTAGTGCTCTCTGAATCTGTCTATTAGAGGTTTGCTATGTTATTTTTCACCTGGACTGCTGTGAGTTGGATGCTCTTGCACACCTGTGTGGGTAAATGACATGCCAAGTGCCATTTCACTGTTTGAGACCTAAATGGAGTGTAATGGTCGTGTTGCACATGCTCCAGTTACGTCTTAGAAGACGGTGCATTTGTGAGCAGGAACACAACTGTAAGCACATAAAAATAAAAACGAACCGTGCTTTTGCAAACACAAAACCCACAAACTCCTCTTTATCATCATCTGTGTGTCTCGTTCCCTTTGGATTGTTTTTGTTTTTCTGCCAGTTTGCTCATCACCGGACGATTTTATCTCTCCTCGCCACTTTTGCAATTTTTGTCTTCAGACTGACCGCCCTTTTTGCAGTTCCAACCCAATCACCTAATTGTTCATTTGGACCTAATTAGAAACATGATCTGCTGGTAGAATTGGCATAAACAACCTCTCTCTTTCTTTCATTTCCCTCAGATAAAGCATTAAAATTGCCCCATGAATCTTGACAAAGGAGCCTCATTTTGCGAGGGTGGCGATAGAATGATGAATTGTCGCCGATAGCTTTCATTTTGAGTAGTGTCTATGAAGGCAGCCCTGTCATTCCGAGTGACAGACATTGTTCCCTTTGCTTTGGTTTGTGAATTGAGCGTTGCAATCAGAATAGAGGCAGGAGGAAGCGCTGATGGGATTGTCATCATCCAGGGAGGCTATCATTAGCCACAGAAGCAGACACTGAAAATCAAGACAGATTGGGAGGGAAAATGCTTTGAAAGGAGCCAAGACTTCTGACAATACGGGAATTTACCACACAGATCAATAAGAACAAAGCATCTGCCGAATTTGACTCCACGCAAGTTAGATATTTTGTTCTCCTTTCCTCTGAGTGTGTGAAGCTGTTCAGTGTTTTCTAGACATTTTGGATTGACTGGTTACAATTTTCAGTGGTAGATTCTCATCTTTTAAAAAAAAAAATCTGGTCATTTCCAACATTTCCTTTTTGAAATATGGGTCCCAACACATTCCACAATTTGCTATGGTAAATACAATATTTTTCTGTGCAAGGTTGGAGGGACATTCTTGTCAGCATCTTTATTTAGTCTGAAATGCTTTTTTGTAGAGTAATCATAATGGGAAAATGGTGTAGTGTGAAGTGTACCACAGATGTACCTACTTGGTGATTGGCTAAGGTGAGGCCATGTCAGTTAATTAAAAAAGATGGCAAAAGAATCATCCAGCTGATCAATCTTTTTGCTTGTACTGTGGAATTGGCCACATGGTTTCCTCTAGCGAATAGTTCGTCCAATTTTCTTCTGCCACCCATCCAGATCCAGGGGCGCCTCAAGAAAATTGATGGGGGTGGCCAGATGGGGCCAAAGAGATCTTTGGGGTGGCCCACCAAATTGGTCCTTGTGGTAACGCTGGGAGAGTTTAGCCTGTGGCGATGCACTGCATTGCTCCTTTATTCATTTTTATTAAAATAACAGTACGTTTACAAAACATTTAACTTAAATCTTACAAATACAAACATTTCAGAAATATACATTTCAGTTATTTAAAATGTTATCCATAATTTAATTAAAACATTTATATTTTTTAGGTTAATTCACCTGTTGCTGTGTTTTAAAAAAAACGATGGAGATAAAAACTTTTATTTGAAATGGTGAGCAGCAGAAACATATGTATTATTTTTTTATTTTGATTATTTCTTTACCCATTAATTGTAATTTTTTATGTTTTTTACAATTATGTCTTGAATAAACAAGATCAATTTATGGTTTGACTGAACATTAAAATGGTTTGTTAACACTGGCTTTTCCTGGGGGGGCAGCAATTTTCTAGGGGTGGCCATGGCCACCCCTTGGGGTCGCCGTTGTCCCGATCCAGTTTGTGAGGGAAGGCAGCAGAGATCCCCAGCACTCCCTCTCCCATCTACTTCCTCCACCTCATCTGGAAGGCATTCTCAGGCCAGCTGTGAGATATATTTTTTCCAGAGCTCTCAGTCTGCCCCGTGGTCTCCTCCCAGTGGGACATGTCAAAATTATCTCCCAAAGGTGTTCTCACCACATGCACAAACCACCTCAACAGGCTTCTTTTGAGGTTTTGGAGATTGAGCTTTCTTCTTTTCTCCTCGCCCTAATCTTGAGGAAGAGCTGCAGCAGTGAAACTGTTAAGTCGTTTTATCACCCGGGGAGAACGTTAATGAAGGTGATGTCTTTTTTTAGGGCGCATTAACAGCACAACCTTCACCATCGCAGCTTGTAGCGTGACCCAAACTGTAAACTCCCTGTAAAGGTTACCGACAGAGGTCATCAGCTGCTGGTAGGTTTAGGAAGGTGTGGTGTTGTGAGTTCGTTCACACATTTCCCTCTAGTCGCCACATGGAGACCATCCAACCAGCTGCATCTGTTTGAACACTATCAGGAGAGGTCTTGTCACGTAACATCTGATGCTGTTTTCAGGCCACTCATACATACACAGTTCACACAGGCGCTTACAGGAAAAAAAGTTTTCATGAACCTCTTAAGACTTTTTTTATGCTTTTTTAAACCTCTCCAGCAACTTTAGTTTAGACTTTCTTTAACTATCTGGGTTATCATTCATTTCCAGAGATATAATCAAGAGCTGTGGCGACTCCTGGTCCCACAGCTGGCGTGATTAAGACCCTTTAAAGGCGTTGTTGCTGTAACGAGAGGAAACGATGTGCTTAGCCACCTGGTTGTAATAACATAAATAACATTTCCCCCCCGTGGTGTGATTTAAAAATCAATAATTATTAGGCGATATGAAAACAAAGGAGTTCAAAACGTTTTCGTTTCTGCGGCAACGGCATAATTGTCTCTGGTTTTATAATGAATAATGTATCACACGCTTTAGTGTGTGCATTACATTATTTTCAAGATCTGACCAGAATGGTCATCATTCCATTGTCTCTTCACATTAAATGACCTGATTTTAAAACTATAGCAGAAAAGGTAGATTATATGTAATCGTTCAGGTAGGTGTTGGCCTGTAATTTGGGTGGTTTTGGCGTCATGCTCTAATATGTTTTGAAATAGAACATTTCAGCTTCCAACTTGTAAAATAAACTCCATCAAAAGGCTTCGGATCTTTTTATGTTGTTTGAATCTAAGTGAATTAATGAAATGAACTTAATAGGCATAAAGTTGGTAGAATTATTTTTTTCTGAAGTTACTATCCGTCAACACTGACAGAGGATTTATTGCTAATTGAAAAGGTAACACAACAACAAAACTGTAAATGTTTTAGTTTTGAGGTGCAACAAATCTACTCATTAATTAATAATCTGGTTTGAAATAAAGTAATTAGTCTTCGAGCAGCTGCAGCACACTCGGTGAGATGCTTTCAGAGTTTAGTGACCCCAAATGTTCTCAGTCAGAGTTTTTGACTTGGTAGTTACTAAGAAACACAAACACACGCTTTCACACACAGATAAATATCAGAGTTTTCATCTTGTTATGAAATGATAAACATATATTTTTTTCTGGTTTCTGCTTGTTGTGCTTCATTGTTTACATCTTTTCTGTTTCTTCTGGCTCGGTGTCACTCCTCACGAGTTTTTAAACATGCTAAAAATGACCAGAACACGACAGAGAAGCGTTGCAACAAACGTGAGGAAACGGAGAACCCTTCTGGAACATTTTGAAAACTCTTTGGAAACTTCACGAATGGCGTTCGCAATTAGTTGCCTGCAGCCACGTCCTCGTGTGATACTGGCTTCACTTAGTCAGATTCTTCACACGTGCTGCTTGTTTGTTAGCAGCTTTTTCACTAAGCAGATTCCCAGTTAAAAATAAAAACAAGAAATCTGTTTTGGCTTAGAGAAGCTAGAACACAAGTAGGAAAGGTCATTCAGTCAGATTCTGTTTTGCAAGGCTCAAATGGTAAATGGCC